TTCATATAGCTAGAATTGATTGGAAAAAGGCTTGGAGATCTATTTTGGGTATTGTTTCGATTTTACCCCAGAACCCCCCATTTTATCCCTACTCATCGTAATCTGATAAAAGAGGATTTTTTTTCTTAATTGAAAACTAAAAAAAATGTAAAAAAAATATATAATTGTCGCAAATGTAAATTTTACGATAATTATGCATTGCTTTTATGTGATTGTTTTTCTTAATTATTTTATGATTATAATGAAACAAAGTCACTTTAAGAAACCAAAATATTCCAAAAATTATATCATCTGAAAACCCAGAAATCTTTATAAGGAGTTTGTGAATGCTTTCGCATTCTGTAAAATGATAAATACTCATAATGATACACTAAACAAGAGGGAACTGCAGGAACGAGCTCAAAATAGCTAGTAAGAAATAAAATGGAAAAACAAAGAATTTATTCAGAACCATGTTTCTGAATTATTACAAATACTAATTCAACCTTGTTCTCTGATTTTTTTCATAATAAAAATCCGTAAAAAATACTTCAAAGCCACCTTCAGAATCTCTAGAATCTCTAGAACCTTCAGAATCCTTAGAACCTCTCCTATACCTACTGAAAATTTTCCACCAAACGTAGTGATACAAAAACAATTGCATACAAATCTTCAAAAAAATAAAGCTAATTTATATGAATATAATAATCTATTAAAAACAGCTACATCACCAGAATTATGTTCACAATTCGCTTCAAAAATTAAACAGGTTGAGGATATAATTGTATTTGAAGAAAGAAATCTCAAGAAGCTAAAAGGTAATGCGAAAGCTCAACAATGAGCTTGAAATAAAAAGCGGGAAAAATTAGATAAAGAGAATATTGTTGAAATGTATGATGCACTGGGTCATTTATTATTTCTGATGAATGATCCTGAACTTTTAGATAAAATGCATAATTGTGTTGAATTCGAAACTACAGACCATAAAAGATGCAAGGAAACGATTAAGATTCAAACCGTCAAGCATCTTCGTGAAGAGATGGAAGAGAAGTATAGTGTCCATATGGCAAAATCAACTATGCAGAATTATATGCAACCTAAGCACCTAAGAATGAGAGAAGCAAAATGACATCATCATCCTGCGCAAATTGGTTTAGTATCTGTTAGAAGAAATGAGATAGCCAGTTATATTGATGAACATTATTGTTTGGCTTCTGTAAAAGATATTAAATCAATTGTGACAGCTTTCCCTAATGAAGTTGTGTTGATTTCTCAGGATGATAAAGCCAAGGTATTTATTTAATAAAATTTTCCTTTTAATATAAGTTTCAAGTTTTTAATTTTCAAAGTTTTATAGGTTCCTTTTGGTATGGCCGCAGTTAGAAGAACATTTAAAATAATACAAATAACAAACGAACCAGTATCGGTTCCTAACTATGATTTTCCAAGGCTGCGAAACACAAGTTAATACCATCTGTTTACTTAATGATTAACCCTTCTAATATGAATAATTCATTATGTTCTGGTAAAATGAGAATTTTTGTTTGTTCAGAACATTTTTTGGGTATATCATGTGAAACACATATGATAGACCTTATGTCAATCACAAAAGAAGATTCCTTTTATAAATTTACGTACTATAAAGGCACTGTAAAACCAATTTGGTGTTTATTGACGGATAGCAAACCAGATGAGAATCCCCGGTTCCTTGCAAATATCTCAAAATACCTATTTTTAAAAAACTCAATTTAGACTACCTTACAGTTCGAACACATACCCAGGGCAGTCTGCATATGATCTAGTTGAGCTGAGTATGGCATCACTTTCTGAAAAGTTGGCGGGAATTGAGTTAGATGCATTTACATATAGTAAATATCTCAGAAGTGTTGATAGAAAAGTTATCGTTATGAATGAGAAACTCAGGCATTGTAATTTTAAGCATGCGGGTGAACGTCTCTATAAACTTTGGGGTGTAACAATATAAATAGTCACCCAGTTATTACTACATATGTTGAGGAACACGACTGTTCAGATTTTTTAGATATAAATGAAGAATTATGGGATTAGATTAATAGGCATAGCCAAATTTGCAAGTATTCTCTTGATTTAAAAAAGTGTAAAGATCGAAATTGTTGTGAACAATCATGTGTCCCAAAATTTATGATCTTTTATTCATAAATAATGGTTTTTTACCACCTGTAGTACAAGGTCTTGATGATAATTTTCTAAGTTTAATTCACACTTTAGAATATTTTGAAAAGCTATCAGGCTATGATGAACATTGTCCTAGCATTACCTCAGATTTATATAATAATCTTATATGCCAAAAATGCCGTAAATACTTTCTATCAAAGCATTTTTAAAGTAGCATATTAAAGTAATCCATTCGAAAGAGAAAGCAACAAATGCAAGAATTGAAGAATCTGAATATCCGGATTCAATATAGAATACACAAAAAGTGTTTGTACAAAAGAAAATACAAATCATGTAAGAAACGATAATTCACAATGCCAATTATTCCAACAGGAAAAAGTTGCAAAGAATGGTAAAGAAAAAGAAAGGAGTTCACAACAGCAAAACTCAAAAGAGAAACCATGAAAGCAGGATCATCTCACATTTAAAATTAATAATTAATATTGGTTATTATGTAGTTTTTGAATAAATTAGGAACAGTCTTAACAAACAATCTTTTTTTTCACACAACTTTAATTAATTTCACAATAGTTAAACTTAAGTTTAATCAACTAAACTTTTTTTTTTCTTACAATACTATAATGTAGTAATATTGATTAACTTTACAATTAGTGATCCGCAGAACTGATCCAGAATTTGGAACTGATAAATTCAGAGAAATTGGAATTTTTCATTAAACTAGGACCATAATATCAAATAAAATTTAATAAATAATTTATTGTAATTAAATTTACATACTTATATTTTATCGTTTGTATTTTATTTTGCAAAAAAAAGAGAAATTTTTTAGACATAAACACATGATTTTTAATTCCTTAAATGAAAATGATGACAAGGGGGGAAGGAAAAATCTCTAAATTTTGAATGACGTCATTTCTAGCTCTCCTCTAATAAAGAAAATAAATCTACTGTTTATTCTTAATTTGAGTGCTTATTTTTCATTTTTATTCTAACATATGATATAAGAATACACAAAATATATGACATATAAACCACATATCATGACAGTCAATTTTTCCAAAACTCTGAAAGTGTTTTTGAACTATATGAGAAAAAAGGGGTTGAAATCTGTAAATTGGTAGATCAAGACGTTCAATTCTAATTTTTATCTTATTCTAATATCAGGGATGTCAGATTAATTCACGTAATGCTAAATCAAAGATTTATATTATGTGTATTATGTCAGGACTTTCTGAAAAAAGTCGACAGATTAATTATTCATTGATCTATCCCTATGATCTAACCCCATAAATTTGTAAAAATATGATGGCATTTCATAAGACCTTGGATCTGGTTTCATTATTACAAAAATAGCATACCTAGGGTCTCATAAAGACAATCCTCCTAGCCATTATTATGAAAATAGCATATTTGAATCTAAAAATAAAAACACTGCAGAAATAGCATAAGATGTAGTTAAATCATAGAAGAAGTATAGAGATAACATACTTATTGTGTATGATATATAGAATATTCTGCAGATCTGTATAGCAGTATATTACTGTAGAGAAGAATAAATGATATTTTACTGTGCATGATATTTAAGCCACCCACGTGATTCAAAAAAAATGAAAGAAACAAAATAATAACAATTTAGTTAATGTGAGTATCACTAGAAAGATGGTAGGAAACATTACTGATTGAGGTATAGGATCATCAAAATATATATCATGGTTCTCGTAAACTTTTATGAATATTTTATCAAAATCATCATTATTTACTTTAGGCTTAGTTAGTATTTTTTCTCTAACTTTACTAATCGAGCTATTTCTTTATACTAGAGCCTTTTATGAAGTTCATGATCATACTCATTATCTGAATCAGAGTCATCAGATTTAAAATATATATCAGAATCAGATTTATTGACATTAGAGTACAGTTCATTAGCATCAGAGTCATCTGAGTTAGAATCATGAGCTGAAGTAGTAGCCATAGTTTCAGAGATTTTGTTCACAGGACTAGTGGTTATCTTCGATTTGATTTGTTTTATGATGTATTCGATTTGAAGATTAGTGAGTTTTAAAATTCTGTCAGAATTACAGGTGTTCCAGTTAACCATATACCCTGATATATCATTAATCTTTTTCAGAGTTACAGGATCAAACCCAAATAACTTATTAATTTTTCTCACCCTAGAAGTTTACACATATAAATATTCATCCGAAATACTTGTAAGCTATGGTTTTATTTCAGCATAAATTTGTGTTTTGCAGTCCTATCCATAAGTTTCTTATTTTCAGACCTAAGTTTTGGGACCTTGTTTTCAAATCTTTGTAAGAATAAACGCTAAGCTGTAATTTCTGCTCGCTTTGCTGTAATCGATCTATTTCTTGTACTATTTATTTGGCAGAATGAATTGACAAGTCTTTTAATACTTATCGATCTGAGAATTATTGTTTTGGAAGAAGAAAACTTTACATCTTTCAGAAGTCGATTATCAGATAAGAGTAGCTCTTCCAATAAATCTTGTATGAATTCAGTTATTATACTCGATCTTACCACTGATTTATCTTGATAGTCAGCTTTGCTCTTGATTTCTTCCAAACTTTCTAAAACCATCTGATCGTATCTTAAGAATACAGTTTTCCCAATTTCTTCTTAATTTTCTAAAACACTTTGATCATATCCCAAGGATATAGTTTTCCTTATTTTTTCTGAAGCATTCCAGTCATTAATGGTGTTTAAATCTACAGCAGAATTCGCAATATCTTCAATGACTTCTGTTTTGTGAGATAATTCTGAAGAAGTACAATTAGTAATTTTAAGCACATCTGTTTTCTCAATATTGTTAATAGATTCTGATACATAAGCAGTATTAGAAGAGCTATTCTGGCTAACTGATTCACGCTGGAGATTTTTTCCTTATTGCGTCACCTAATATCTTCACTATACATGAAGTCGAAATAAAAACCCAAAAGTCGAAATGTTTCGACTTTGGAGGTCAAAGTCGAAATGAAAAGTCGA